AACCAATGACTGATCTAATTTGAGGCTAGATAGTTCAGAGGCTAGATAGTTCAGAGATCTAGAATAGAAAAAAAATCAATAAAATGGTTCCTAATGATATGCTTACTATATTATACTCATAGACAGGTGCCTAGTCCAGTTGCTATCAGAGAGGCTTCCTCCAGTAGCTGATGGGAGCAGATGCAGAGACTCACAGCCAAATATTAAGTGGACAAATATCCCAAATTGGAGGTCCATCAGGTCCCTCCCTTTGGAGCTCAGGGAACCCCATAGAAGAAGGAGAGGGAAAATTATAGGAATAAAAGGGGTCTAGGACACCAGGAGAACAAGGCCTACACATTCAACTAAGCAGGGCTCAAAGGGCTCACAGAGACTGGAGTGGCAATCACAGAGCCTGTATGGGTCTCTGCTAGGTCCTCTTATATGCCTTATGGTTGTGTAGCATGGTGTTTCCTGTAGGACTCCTAACAGTGGGAGTGGGGAATCTCTGACTCTTCTACCTGCACGGGACCCTTTCCTTCCTACTGGGTTGCCTCATTCTGCCCTGATATGAGGGTTTGTGCCTAGTGTCATTGTAACTTGTGTTCTGTTGATATTCCTGGGATGCCTGCTCTCTTTTTTTTTTCAGGGAAATAGAAGAGGAGTGAATCTGGGGAGAGGGAAACTAAAAGAGTGGAGGGAATGGGAACTGCAGTTGGGATGTATTGCATGAGAGAAAACCAAATTTTAGAAAAACCACTGAATGAATGTGGGCTTGGAATTAAGGTAGAATTCCCAATAGTTCATAAAATACCCCTAAATGTACTGCTTCCATTTTATACTTTGTATCTATGCAAAGTGGCACTTTCCACACTAGCAACTATAAAATCAAAATATTGATGCTGGATGGCCCACAGCATGAAACATTCAGCCAAATTTTAACTCCTTTGTGTATTTACGCAAGTTTGCTTTTGTCTTTAATAAGCTAATATTGTAGATATACCAAAGAATTAGTTTAAAATAAATTTCTCCATGGTCCATCATTAGTAAATGGTTGGTTTCTACAATTATGATACATACTCAGGTTCACATAAAAGTTTCTTAAGCAGAAAGGACTTACCATCCAGGTCTACATGACTAAGACACATGGAGAGGTGCACAGCACTAAATATGGTGTATTTTTGTGTGTGCATGCAAGTTAGTAATATTGTTTACATCCTAAAACGGGAACAGGGTGCCAGGGGCACATGGGTACATAAGGAAAATCAACCTTAGCACACAAAGTTGAATTGTTAATCTGATGGATTATCTTATCTCTCAGAAGCATCTATCATTGTCATCTATTCTTGACCTCATTCTACGGCCTTCTTGACTTCAAAGTACCAATAGAGTCATTTGATCTGTATCTATTCACACCAGTTTCCAAGGCCTCAACATTGTAGATAAGAATCATGATATAAGGGAGAGAATGACACAAAAATTAAATTACAAAAAAAAAACACCATTAGATATTTTTCTGTAGCACAGTTTAGAAACACACAATTCTATTGTATATTGCCAGTAGTGAAAAATAAAAAGGGATTGCCTAGCATTCATAAAGTCCTGAGTTTAAGCTCCAGCAACACACGCACGCACACACGCACGCACGCACACACGCACGCAGGCACGCAAGCACGCACGCACGTTAATCGCTGGCTGAGCATCTGAAAGTAGGCTACCTGAATTCAATCCCAGCCTCTGTGTTGTTTTGAGAAGACTACTTATCATCCATAACTTCAATCTCCTCCTGATAAGGAAGGGAATGCCCACCCACCTTGGTAGTTGCATGTGGATTGGAGCTCTTTCGTGGACTACACTAGGACCCGTGTCTGAAGTTCAGTATCTATTCACTGCTGCTCCTACATCCGGTGCCACGCTTACCATGAGAAAAGAACCCTGCCACGCCCCTGAGCATCTGGTAGCTGTGCCCAGCGCAGGTCTACAGACCCGATATGAGGGGGCTCCTTTGGAATGGTTCCTACCAAGAATCAGGAGCCAGGTTGTTTGTCCCTGCCACCCTTGACCTCTGTGTTCAGACTCCTGCCTGAGACTTTTATAGGGACACAGAGACATCGCCATTCCTGTTGTTCAAGTTGCCCACCATGGTGTGTGTGGCACATGGTTCAGACAGCTAGGCAGGATTCTTGTCCTATTCTGCACCTCTCTCAAGATGCCACCAGTGGGGTCCATGGAGCAGCAGCCATTGTGTTTACAGGCACGCTGCTCCGGCTGGAAAGACAGGCTCCTTCACAAGCCCTCCTGAAGGCAGCGGTTCCCACATCTGAGTAGGAGGAGGCATTCCGAGTCATCCTGGAGCTGCAGGAACAGGAAGGGAGGAAACATGCTGGTTGCTTTCTCATTCCTCAGCTGTCATGTATGACTTGCTCTGCCTCCCTCCTGGCACAGCAAATGATGTGACCACTCTCCTGTGGTCTACTTGCAGAACGCATGCCAACTGTCATCTTTTCTCTGCCCTTGCGGCCAAATCTGCCAAAGTCCACACCCCACACATCTGCCTTGGCCCACTCTGCATCCTGACGCATCAAGGCAGGGTCCAGGCTCAGCAAGGCCGGCAGTCAGCCTCAGCAGCCCTGGCACACCACATCCCTAGTTCAGGGAAACAGTCAGTGACCCTGCTGCTACTTCAGTGGGATCCAGCCGGAGACAGTCTTCTGGCTCCAGAAGCTTCTTTGCAAGGGTTTCTAATGAAACACTTGAGATAGGAAAGAAAGCAATTCAAAGACAAAATGGACCTGAAGCTGCCGAAAACAGCAAATTTCCCCCCAAAAGTAAAACTAGGCTTCTACATCAAAGGGACCTTTGCCCTTTGTTTCTCAGGAGAGTATCCTTCTTGCCTAATACTTCCTCCTCCTCCCCCACCTCTTCAAGATTGCTCCCCTCCCCACCTTTCAGATTTACAGGGTTCCCTAGTTAAAGTGTCAACTTGCCACAGCCTAGTCATCTGAGAGGTAGTGTCATTTGGAGCATCCCCGGGGTGTGATAGGCATCTGGGGATGTCTGATTGTTAATTGATGTAGGAGGGCCCAGCACACTGTGGGCAGCACCATTCCCTAGGCAGGTCCTGAGCTATATAAGAAAGCTACCTAAGCACCAATCTGAGAACAAGCAGAAAGAACACTCCTTCACAGTCTCTGCTTCAAGTTCCTGCTTGAGTCTCTGCCCTGTATTTCCCCCATGATGGACTATGCATCTGTTGAATTAACCATTTTCCTTCTCCAATTTTTTTTGTGACAGTGTTTTATTGAAATCACTGAAAGGAAAATAGAGGCCACTGGCTGGTAAATTCACTACCAGTATTCTGCTCCAGGAGAGGCAAACCAATTCTCAAATATTCCAGTTTAGTTTATCTCTAGTCCAAGTATCCCTGTATGTTCTCATCAGGGATCTGTGGCATTGAACCATTTGACCCATTACTGCATTAGAGACTTTAGAAAGACAGACAGACAGACACTGACCTCAGGATGCCTTGCTTGGATTTCATATTCTATTTTTAATAATTGGGATGAAATCGTTGTATTTTAAAAGAAAAGGGGAGTGTGTTAGTAAGAGCCCCTTTAAAGTGGTTTGGGAGCCATTGCCCTCTTAGATGATAGAACCTTGGAAATGTAGCTTCTCTGCAATTGGCTCAGCCTAGTCACCCACACATCCCCTCAAACATCTCCACCAAGGAGGTCCCTGCCCAGAACAGCACCCCCACAGGGTCTGGCTTATGAGCCTGAGCCATGTTGGATAACTGGACCTGACTCAGGGAGCACGGGAGGCCCACATCCTGTATGCCCAGCAACCAGACTTTCAACGCAGTCTCTTCCACCACCCTGCGAAGCAAGTTTGTCCTGAAGAAAATGCTTACAGCCAGCCACCAGAAAGCAAGAGATCTGAGAACTGTGGCTGAACACACAAAGGCAGCAGCCTCCTTACAGCGGGACCCGTGCCCATGCTCCAAGAGTCTTCACAGCTGTCATGGACACCATTTGCTGAAGAGCATCTCCCGTGTAGTGTGGCCAGGGTATGTGTGAGGACGCATTCCCCAGATACACATGACACCTGGGTCCTCTAGCATCCTCCAAAGGAAAAGCCTCGCCAGGAGGCTGTCAGCACAGGAAACTCACCTCCAACCTTCCTTTTACCTAGGCGGTGTTTTCTTTGGGGACACATATGATTACTGAAGTGACTCATGGTGGACACGTTTGCAGAGGCCACAACAGGCCTAAGCAGTTCACGTGCTTGGGTATTTTAAAGGCCATTTTAACCATATGTTACTGCATGTATAGTGTCTTAGATTAGGTTTCTATTGCCATGATGAAACACTGTGCCCAAAAGCGGCTTGGAGAGAAAAGGGTTTATTTTCGTTTACAGGGGAGTCAGGAGAGAAATTAACGCAGACATCATGTAGGAGTGCTGCTTATTGGCTTTCTCTCCATGGATTGCTCACCCTGCTTTCTTACAGCACCCAGGCAGCACCACGGCAAGCAGGGACCTCCCACATGAATCACCAGCCAGGAAAATGCCCCCACAGACTTGCCCGCAGGGATATCCGGCAGAGGCGCTTCTCAATTGTGGTGCCCTTTTCCCAGATGACTCTGGCTGTGTCGTGTTGACAAACACTAGTCAGCTCACAGAGCAATGCAGCTTACATACTAAATAACACTGTATAGATTGATTTAATTTTAAATGGAAAAAAAGAGACGAAAATTTCAGGTTATAGGGGAAAAAAAGATGGTGGTGCCTGTACCCATCCCCTCGCCCCCCCTCCCCTCTCTCAATTCCCCCTCCCCACCATGGCCAAGGAGTTCTGAGGAGTCTGCTTTAGCTGGGAAAGTAGTCTGTGGCTCCCATAAGCTCTCCAGAACAACCAAAAGGCGGGTGAACCTCTGAGTTCAAAGACAACCAGAGATACAGAGAGAAACCCTCTCAAAAAAACAAAGCAAAACAAACACACACACACAAAAGCCAAATGTTTGTAGCGCCTTTAAAGTGTGGGTTGACCAAATTGGAAGAACAGAGCCACATGCAAGGAGAATGACAAATCTATACCCTGCGCTGCCAAGTCTCAGCCAGCAGGCTGCACGTACAAAAGTCATTTCTGATGAGCCATGTCGCTGCCGGCCCTAATGACTGGAGATGTGTGGCAGTTTGGGGCTCCTGCGGAAACAGGTCATTGCTGAAAAGGACCGGTCCTAAGCCCAGGTTCCAGCATGGAGATGCAGCCTGTATTGCTTGCCCCACTGGGAGACTGAGAATATGGGACAAAAGCACTGCCCACAGGCTACAAGCACAAAGGTTGAGCCTGGCAAGCCTCCTTGGGGTGGCAGACATCAAGGGCAGGGAGGTGTGTGGTAGCCAGGAGCTCTCATAGAACCTGCCCCCAGATGCACTGCCTAGCTGCACCATCACCCGGACTCTGGGCAACAGCAGGGTATCTGAGAGGAATCTCAGTGATGGTCCAGTATTTATGGTGCTTCGGAAACCAGATACCTTAAGGCAGACCAACAACTTGTTGTAATGAACAACAGTATGTAAATCTGTCTGGACAATATGATGTGACACATCACAGTTTCCAGTGCTGCCGAGGTGGGAAAGACAGATGGCCACAGCAGTGAGTGGGCAGTGGCGAGAGGCGGAGCTATAGGCAGGTGTGGAAGAAGCCTGTGGCAGACAGGGGATCATGCTGTTGCCCCCCTCGTAGGGCTGACCGAGCGGAACACAGCAGCCTGGAGCTCGTGCTCTCACTCGGCCCCTGAACTCTCTGCCCAGCCGCACGATTGCCCTAGCTATGAGCAGCATGACAGGATGTCCAAGGTGAGGAGTGGTTCATTTTCTGGACTGGACCTCTTGAAAAGACCTCTAAGGTCCATGCTCCCCCTGAACCCTTACCAAGCCGCCTTGGTATCCATAGTATGCTGCTCCAGGCTGTGTTGACGTCTCAGGTTCTTCTGATCATCCATGGTGCTGCTGCAGCCAAGGTGTGTGTTGATGACCTGTGTTACCACTAAAGGTCATGCAGATGTCCGTGGGCTGTTCTGCCACCAGGGGCATGTTGATGTGAGTGGACTGTGCTGCTGCCTGGGACCAAGGTGATGTCCATGTTCACGTTGCTGCTGAGGGCCATGTCTGGGTTCATGGTCCTCCTGAAGCTGTGATCCATGGGCTGTGATGCTACTGAGAGTCATGTCTGGGTCCATGGTCCTCCAGCAGCTGGAGTCCTGTAATGTTGCTGAGGGCAATGATGTATCCGTGGTCCATGTAGTGGCAGAGAGACATGCTGATGTCCATGTTAAGGTCCGTGGCATGTACCGACACCAGGCACCATGTGAATGTTCATGCTGTCACCAGAAATCATGTGTAAGTCCATGATCCTTGCTCCTGCTGACTGCAAAGGGCAAGAAATCTGCTTTTGCAATGCCCCTGATCACCTCAGACACAGAGTTGAGAAAGAGGGACATAGAAGGATTCTGTGACAACCTCCTTCACCAAAGTAATAGCCTGGGCAGAAAGCCTTTGAAGAGAACTCTTAAAAATTGTGATAGAGATGCTGAAGGGTAGCTCTCCAGAAGGGTGGCTTCTGGAAGGCATGTGAAAGGGGAAGGACCATTTTCTTTCAGGGGATGGCCCCTGGAGTTTGAGCATGCTCCAGAGAGTACATGAGCAACATAAATTGGACTCCTCCACCCCCTCCTCCTGCCCCCTCCTCCTCTCCCTCCCCATCCATCCTTCCCCTTTTCCTCCTCCTTCCTTCTTATTCTGTGTGGGAAGAAGTTATGAGGGTGGGGGATATGGACCTGGGAGAACTGGGAAGTGAGTGTGCTTGGGGTTCGTGATGTGAAATTTCCAAATAATCAATGAAAAAATTTCAGGTTATAGATTCCACCTCCTTCCAGAACAAAAAAAAATTAATCAATTCTTTCTAAGCGGGTAAATGTGAAAAACTGTACTCATAACTATCTGTGCCTAATTCCCATTGCACTAATGGTCAACGGAATTAGAAAGAAAGCCTGACTTTCACAATCACTGCTTCAGAGGAGGAGCACATGCTAGATTGGTTTGGAATGTAAAAATGGTTCTTGCTACATCAGCACACAGAGAATTAAATGCATATATCCAGCATGGGTGAGAGTGGAGTGAAGCAGGAAGGTATGCACCCTATTTCATGACGCATGTGTCCTTTTGTCTATTCTTTGTCCTTCTCCATCACTACATACTACTCTCTCTTAGTTTTCTTTATAAATTTTATACTATATTCCTACTTCTATCTATTTACATGTACATTATAAGCTAGGATCCATATATGGGGGAGAATATGTGGGATTTTTTTTTAGTTTGTATTACCTTACTTGAAATTATATTTTCTAGGTCCATCCATTATCCTTTAAATTTCATAGTTTCATTTTTCTTTATAGCTGAATAATATTCCATTTTGTCTATTACCATGTCTCATTATTCCATCATCACCTGGTAGACATCTGAGCTGGTTCCATTTCCTGGCTATTGTGAATACAGCAGCAGTAAATATAGATTTGAAAGTGAATCTCTGCTATGGCACTGGATGATGGAAAGACCTTCCCCATGCTTCTGCACGGCTTACCAAAAGATTTCCACAAATTCAGTGCAATACCAATTAAAACTCCAATGTCATACTTCACAGTTCTAGAAGAAATAATCCAAGAATGTATATGGAACCACAGAAGACCACAAATAGCCAAAGCATCCTAAGAAGAAAGAACACAGCTAGAAATATACCAATACCTGACCTCAAATTATAATACAGAGCCACAGTGACAAAGACAGCCCACTGGTATAAAAACAGACTGGTAGATGAACAGTATAGAATAGAAGACCCAGATGTAAACAAAGGCCATGATGCTAGAAAAAATACCATCCGGGGTATGGAATCACATGCATATATTTAACCCTATACAAAAAATAACTCAAAAGACCTTAATTCAAACCTTTAATTTCTAGGGGAAGGACAGTAAATACTTTTTAAGACATTGGGGTAGGCAAGGAATTTCTGCTAGAACATCAATAGTACAGAAACTCACTCTAAGGATATGAAGATAAAAAGTTTCTGCCTAGAATAATCAACTCTCAGTGGACCAGACAGACAGCTCACAGAGTGAGATAAAATGTTTACCATCCATAATTCAGATAAGGGGTAACATCCATAATTTACAAAGAACTACAAAAATTAGACACCAAAAATAAAAAAGCTGCTATTCAATAAATGGGCTAATTAAATGAACAAATGGGTCTCAAAAGAAGAAACACCAATAGACAATAACATTTTTCAAAAAAGTGTTCGACATCCCTAGACATGGGGGGGCATATGTAAAAGTACAAGTATAAAGAAGCACACTATAACCAGACAGTGATCATTCGAAAGCAACCCAGACAGTAATAATGTTTGCAACAACTACTTGTTGAGCATCTAACATGGGCCAAGAATCGGGTAAGCATGTTACATGTGTGTACCTGGGTAGCAGCTGGGCAGGAAAGATGATTGAGAGGTGTGGATTGTGGAATGAAAAAGCCACCCTCGAGTGTTGTATGCACCGTGCAGCTGAGAACCGCTACGGTGTACATGTGCGGTAAACGAACCTTCACCAGTAGCAAGTGTCAGACGTGAGTCACAGGCAAGGGTCTAGAAAGTCACCACCCAGTGAGGAGGAAACCAGGCCACTGGGCAATATCCAGAGGTCTTGGAAATAAGCTATATCACACAAGCTCCAGGAATTCTGACGGCAGCACCGGATGCTACTACTGTGACTTCTGCTTGCCTCCCAATGAGACTGGAAACACGCTGGAGAGAGGGTCCTTCGGGCTAGAAATGGTTCAGTGAGAAGACAGCTGTCCAGTTTGCTTTCTGTCTTTTTCTTTTTTTTTTTTTTTTTTTTTTTTTTTTTTTCATTTTTATTTTTATTTTTTTTATATTAATATTTTTTTATTTTCCATTTTAAATTTAGATAAGAAACAAGGTTGCTTCACAAGTCAGTACGAGGTCCCTCTCCCTTTCCCTCCCCTCCTCCTGTGCCCTCCCCCCATCCCCCCCCCGTTATCCCCTCATTCCCCCAGGGAGGGTGAGGCCCTCCATGGGGGTGTCCATAGTCTGTCATTTCATATAGGGCAGGGCCTAGACCCTTCCCCAAGAGTTCAGGGTGAGAGTGCACCTCACATTGTTCTATGGGAGTCCAGAGACCGTGTGTATACTTGGGATGGGTACTGATCTGCTGTCCAAGGCTCAATAGATTACCTAGGCCTCCTCACTGACACCCAGATTCAGGGGGTCTTGATCAGTCCCATGCTGGATTCCCAGGCTGATGCCTGGGATTCAAGAGTTAACCTTTGTCTGGTCAGCTGTTTCTGGGGGTTCAACCAGCCCAGTCTTAATCCCTTTGATCATCAGTCCTCCCTCTCTGATACTGGCTTTCTTGAGTTCAGCTCAGTACTTAACCAGCCAGTAAATGAAGTTTCTGTTTCCCAGACTCTCTGGCAATAGGATTGTAGGCTGGCACTCCCCAGATCTATGTCTAAAATCCATATATGAGAGAGTACATGCCATGTTTCTCTTTTTGTGACTGGGTTACCTCACTCAGGATGGTTTCTTCTAGTGTCATCCATTTGCCTGCGAATCTCATGATTCCATTATTTTTTTCTGCTGAATAGTACTCCATTGTGTAGATGTACCACATTTTCTCTATCCATTCTTCGGGTGAGGGACATCTAGGTTGCTTCCAAGTTCTGGCTATTACAAATAAAGCTGCTATGAACATAGTGGAACAGACATCTTTGTTATATGAATGGGCATCTTTTGGATATATGCCTAAGAGTGCAGTTGCTGGGTCTTGTGGTAGGTTTATTCCCATTTTTCTGAGGAATCTCCATACTGCTTTCCAAAGTGGCTGAACCAGTTGGCACTCCCACCAGCAATGGAGGAGTGTCCCCCTTTCACCACATCCTCTCCAGCATAAATTGTCATTGGTGTTTTTGATTTTAGCCATTCTGACAGGAGTGAGATGGTATCTCAGAGTTGCTTTGATTTGCATTTCCCGGATGGCTAAGGATGTTGAGCACTTTCTCAAGTGCCTCTCAGCCATTTTAGACTCCTCTATTGAAAACTCTCTATTTAGTTCTGCAGCCCACTTCTTAATTGGGTCCTTTGCTGTTTTGGAGACTTGCTTCTTGAGTTCTTTGTAAATTTTGGAGATCAACCCTCTGTCAGATGTGGGATTAGTGAATATTTTTTCCCATTCTGTGGGCTGCCTTTTTGTCTTGCTGACTGTGTCCTTTGCCTTACAGAAGCTTCTCAGTTTCAGTAGGTCCCATTTATTAATTGTTGATCTCACTGTCTGTGCTACTGGTGTTATGTTCAGGAAGCTGTCTCCTGTACCAATTCTTTCAAGGGTACCACCCACTTTCTCTTCTAAGAGGTTCAGTGTGGCTGGATTTATGTTGAGGTCTTTGATCCATTTGGACTTAAGTTTTGTGCATGGCGATAAACATGGATCGATCCGCATTTTTCTACATGCCAGTCTCCAATTATGCCAGCACCATTTGTTGAAGATGCTTTCTTTATTCCATTGTATATTTTTAGCTTCTTTGTCGAAGATCAGATGTTCGTACGTGTGTGGGTTAATACCCGGATTTTCAATTCGATTCCATTGGTCTGCCTGTCTATTTTTGTGCCAATACCAAGCTGTTTTCAGGACTATAGCTCTATAATAGAGCTTGAGGTCAGGGATAGTGATGCCTCCGGACGTTGCCTTGTTGAACAGGGTTGTTTTGGCTATCCTGGGTCTTTTGTTTTTCCATACAAAATTGATTATTGTTCTTTCAAGGTCTGTGAAGAATTGTGCTGGGATTTTAATGGGGATAGCATTGAATCTGTAGATTGCTTTTGGCAGGATTGCCATTTTTACTACATTGATCCTACCTATCCAAGAGCATGGGAGATCTTTCCATTTTCTGAGGGCTTCTTTAATTTCTTTCTTTAAAGATTCAAAGTTCTTACGATACAGGTCTTTCACTTGTTTGGTTAGCGTTACCCCAAGGTATTTTATGTTGTTTGTGGCAATTGTAAAGGGTGATGTTTCTCTGATTTCTCTTTCAGCCCTTTTATCATCTGTATATAGTAGGGCTACTGACTTTCTTGAGTTGATCTTGTAACCTGCCACTTTGCTGAAGGTGTTAATCAGCTGTAAGAGTTCCCTGGTAGAGTTCTTTGGGTCACTGATATAAACTATCATATCGTCTGCAAACAGTGAAAGTTTGACTTCTTCCTTCCCAATTTGTATCCCCTTGATCCCCCTTTGTTGTCGTATGGCTATAGCTAGAACTTCAAGTACCATGTTGAAAAGGTATGGAGAGAGTGGACAG